ACTGATGACCTGCCTCTCTCATTTCCACTGGCGGTTCCTACACTGAGTCTCACCACTGAAGACTGTGGAAAGAAAGGCGAAATCATGCCTTGGGAACAAAGAAAACAAGAGACCAGGCGGCGCTCAGTGGAGGGATTTCTTTGTGAGGTAGACTGCACAGATTTTTCACACCCTCAGAATAAGAATAAAGTTAAAGAACAAAGAGTCAAGTCTAGATCCATCTGCTTCTCTTTAAAATCATTCATTAAAGGGCTCGAAAGTAGTTTTTTTTTTTTTTTAAGGATTGTGCATTTTAAGGATGTTTGGCAGTCAATAAAATATTTGAATGTATTCTACTTTTGGTAAACCAAGGCTGAACAATTTCATGACCCTCCACACCTGTGGAGGTATACCTAATCACGCCACCCTCACCCAGCCAGTAATATCCTCTTTGTGAAATGTTTGTGACTGTAATTGTGGCTGTGATTATATATTGTGTGAACTTGAAGCACGTTATTATATTGGGTGACTAATGGAATTTAGGAACAATGCATAGACATTGGTATTCTGGAAAGAGTTGAGTTGTTAATTGTCTTCTTTCCTGAGTCTGGAGTAGATTTCACGGCTCATCTACCTCACAGTATGTCTGTGGCTGATGGACTGAAATCTTCCTGCTGAATAGTAAACATCCAAGGCAATTTGGTCTCCCTTAGCTCACTTGTCACCGTGTTCTCATCACTCATGCAAAAATAAAATAAAATAAAATATATATATATATATAAACAACAAACGCAAACTGTGCCTACGGTTAATTCACTTTTATTCAAACTGACAAGAAAAGAGAGCACATCCATTAACACTTCATTGGGTGCCTTGGGGGTCCTCAGAGTATGGTCTCCCAGCTTTTCGGGCTATCACTGTGGGCCTTGGAAATGAAGAGGTCTGTTAGTGCATTCTTTCTGTACTGACCAGATGGGCCATGTGCCTTTCGGTACCCCAAGCCCCTTTTCCTTTTCTGATGGGCTTAGAGCAGTGGTTCTCAACCTCTAATGCCGGGACTCTTTAATGCAGTTCCTCATGTTGTGACCCCCCCAGCCATAAAATTAGACATAATTAAATTCTGTGGTGGGTGGTCTCCACAACATGAGGAGCTATTAGGAAGGGTCACAGCATTAGAAAGGTTGAGAACCGCTGGCTCAGAAGTTAGAGAGAACACATTTCTTTCTTCTGCTTTTCTAGAAATGTCTCTACCATGGTGAAGTATAATGAAAAAGTTATATGGTAGAACATTTTTAGCAAACAAACGATTTCACTGATGGCTTGAGTTTCTGAACGCTAACAGACATTTGTATAGGGAAAAAATTAGTACTAAGGGACTTACTAAAATAGGAGTAATGGTATTGGTCATGCAATAGTTTCTCTTCAATTAAGTCAAATTGAAGCCTAGATTAGTCACCATTTGGTGCACTTTTACATTCAAGAGGGGTAAGGTTTTTCTTTGACAGTTTCCTATATAAAGAAATGATAATTATTGATTCTTCATATAATATGAGTAACATATGGTTTTATCAATCACATTTACATAAAAAGCTTTAGAAATAAAATCCTGTTAGTGAGTATGGATCCGTGCTTCTCAAAGTGCGGTCCTTGCACCAGCACTGTCAGCCTCATCTGGAAGTTTTATTAGAGTTGCACATTGTCAGGCCTGCCTTAGAAACTCTGATGGCCAGTGCCCAGCCAATCTGTATTTTACAAAGCCTTCCAAGTGACTCTGATGTAGGCTATTGTTTGAAAGCCATTGGTCTGTTTTTTTTTTTTTTTTAAAGGGGTCTTGCTGTGTTGTTCAGATTGGTCTCAAATTCCTGGCCTCCAGAGATTCTCCTAACTCAGCCTATCAAAGTTCTGGGATCACAGGCATGAGCTACCACACCTGGCTCATACTCATTTAACAGATGATAAATTGACGGAATGATTGACCAGTCACATGACTAGTTAATGTTAAGGCCCTTACTCGAACCTGGGCTTTCTGTGCTCATGTGTCATAGGAGCTCTCTCTTAAAGAAAGGAATCGAGGATAGGGAATTCCACAAAGCTGGAAAACAGTAACTCTTAAAGGAGCTGAGAGAGAGGATTACTTGACTGCATTATTATAATGAAAATGGGTTGTTGAAACTATAAACATGAGAAAATTAACCTAGAAAAAGTTTCAATGACACACACAACGCTTTTCTGGCCCTGTGTATTGGGTTCCTCATTTTCTTCTTAGTAGAAGAGAGAAAAGAATTTAGTTAAAAACTCCAGAGGGGCAGCTGATGAATGTTGATAGAAATTGGAGACACTATTTTAATCAGCACTTTTTAGCCGAACAAACCCATGGACAGATTTTCCATCCAATCTTTCCATGCCACATTAGCCACGGTGATGGTGCCCTGTGGTGATTATCCTGCACACACAGTTTTATACACGGATAAGAGAAGTTTCTTCCTGCCTGTGGTATCAAAATGAATCCCTAGGGCAGCAGGCATTAACTACCCTGCCATGGTTTGGGAAATGAACGTTTTCCTCTTGAGCAGAAAGTAGAAAACCATGTTCATTACCCGTAATATAAAAGTCTGTCTAATGACACCTGTTGAGATCAAGTTCTTCGTGAACTCAATTTGGGCTCGGTGTATATAATCAAACCAGTAAAGTTTAAGTCTATTACTGTTCAACTGGGAGGAATTTTCTTGAATAGGAAATGTTGCTATTCAGTTGTGTAAACAGACTGTGTGTGTGATAGTTTTGTTATACAGGCTTATAAAAAGAATAGCGAAATATATATGGAAAAATATGCCAAACATAAATGCTAGTGTTTTATGAATAATTATAAATAAGACACACAGATAATGACCATTAAACATGAAAGTGATTGTTGCTAATGCCCCAGATGCCTCTGCTGCAGATCCCAAGTGTGTTGTAGTCTTCTGCAGAGAATTCCTGCCTCTGCACATGTTCACCTGCTGTTTTCTCCCTCTGAACCCTCCACATAGACACACAGACACACACACACACACACACACACACACACACACAGTTGTCAGGCTGGCAAACTCTTTCTCATCTCTGGCATTGTCAGAAAAGACGCCATAGCTCTCTGCACCTCATGTCTGCGGGGCACTTTGGATGTCTCCTTGAATAATAATAGAGTTGAGAGCTTTTTCAAAACTGGGATCTCATCTTTGCATGTTTTAGTTAACCCTTAGTACTGGCCTGTACCTGATGCATTGTGGGCATTCTGTAATTAATATTCAAGTGAATTAATGACTGGCATCTCCACTGGGATAAACCCTGCTACCCAGTATCTCCCAGTCCTGAGATCCACAGGAAATGGAATGGGCTAAGGAATCCTCTAAAATGGGGAACGGGGAACTGATAAGGTCAGAATGAGCACGAGAAGAGACCTCCTGTTTTTCATCATCCCTTCATCTCACACAGAGGGGTGCCCGGGCCAGGTGCTCTGCTGGGTCTGCTGTGTGGGTTCGCCTTACAGCAGTGGGACTCCACCTCTGATTTGGCCCTGATTACATTACAACTGTGGGTGCATCTAATCAGACCATTTTGCACCCTACATTTGGAGTGGTGCAGCTGTTTGAACAAGTTGCCTGAAAACAGCAGCTGCTGGTACTTGGGGACCTTGGGGCTATGAGGAGTTATAGCTGCTCCTGCCCGGAGGGTCTCTTGGCAGCTGAATCCTGATGCTGAGCCCCCTGGGGAGGGAGGAGATTAAACACCCCCATCCTACTGGCTCATTGTCCATAAAACTTGGGTTGGACATCTAGAGTCACTTTGAGACAACTCAGCTGTCTGGCTGGTGGTCGTCTACTGCCTGAACTCAGTGGTGTGCGTGTCTTAAACTCACAGCTCACTGTCCTTACCCTGACTTCCAGGGTTTGCATCCTTCGGCCCGTATCCCTTTCTGATGTCCTCTCCCATAACTTCTCATCACAAGTTCGGTGCTCCAGCCAAACAGAACCCTGGGTGTCCTCCCGCCCCACGCCCCTTCCTCCCTGCTGCTGTGCCAGCATGTGAGCTGCTCTCTGCTCCCAGACACCTCTCTATCCTTCTCCTCCCTCCCTCTTCCTCTGCAACCTTCTCAGTCTCTAAGTGTCTCAAGGCCATGAAAACCGCAAGGCTCAGCCCACACCTCTGGTCTTTTCTTGTCTGGGTATCTGCACATGTTGTCCCTTCCGACTGTGACAAGCCCTCTGCCTCCCACTTCTGATCTCTAAGCTTAATGGCTTCTCCATGAACTTTTCTCTGAGCCTGTAGGGGAGAAATTTGTCTTTTTTCTGCTGATCACCCACTCTAGTAAACTTCAAACGTAGCATTAACACTCGCTCCCTGGCCTTACACGTTCACATTTCTTTATGCCCCTACTAGATGGCAGGTCCATCCAGAGAAGCAGTCATATCTTTTGTGACTTATCCTGTAGAGTAACTTGCATATGACAGGTGTTTAACGATGAATAATTAATAAAAAGATCAGGGCATGAGCTATGTGTGTAACAGTTTGGGGACTGCAGGTGGTAGCTGTGTATCTTTGCCTTGGCCATATGAGCTGAGAGTGAGCTGATGACAGTACCTCCCTCCCCGCCCCCAATCCTCCACTGCCTCCTCCGAGGTACCCTCCCTTAGACTCAGACTGACTCTAAGGATTATTTTCAACATTGGAACATGAAGGCCTGATTCATCATGATTTAGGAATGACTTGCAGGATGGACCAGGGACTCACACCACACGCTTTATGCTTTCAAAATGGATTAGAATATATATTAAACTGAGCAGTTAGCAGTTAGCTGTCTTTTTCTTTCCATTCCCATTCAATTGAGAAGTGATATAAGGGGAGAAATATGTCCTAACTGCAGAGAAATCTTCGGGCAAGTCTCAAGATAGTACTATTATTTTAAAAGTGATGTCAAGGACATAAAACAAAGAGAAGGGGTGTGTGTGGTTGCTTCACTATCTCCTATTTTTGCCTTCCAGGAGACAGAGCTGTTGGATCTCAGCCTTGTCAAGGATGCCAGATGTGGGAGACATGCCAAGGCTCCCAAGGTAGGAGGCAGAGCCCTGTGCCTGCACAGATGCTGCCTTGATTATGTCGCTGTGCCATGATATCAATTAATTGCCACAATTAAAAGTTTCTCTGTTGTAGATGTTGTAAAACACAACAGTCAGTATGCCCTAAATACTTCCACTTTTATTAAAAGATGGAAATGCATGGGCTGTTGGCCACTGGGGTTTGCTTTGTGCCCTCTAATTTTATTTTTATTTGAATAAAATAACAATGCCAAGGTTAGTGGGTAATTCTAAATGGTTAAAATGTGCTTCAAATAATTTGG